CATGAAAAAAAATACAAGAAAAAATGAAATTAAACTATTCTAATGAGGTTTTTTTTTTTTAACTTAATATCCTGTTGCTTTTTTTCATATTACGAGGTTCAACTTGCTCTCATGGTGATTCCATGGATGGTCTGAGGAGTATGTGAAGTGCACGCAGTCTTTCTTTAGAAATGCACATAAACCTTTGTCCGGACACATCCTTTATGCATTTGGCAACAGAGACCTGAAACCTCATGTGAATGATTATATTTTGGAACAGCAATTACAACACTAGGGCCTTTGAGGATAAAATAAATCCTTTTTTTCATGTAAAGCCAAGAGTGGACAGTGTCCGCTGAAATCTCTGATGTGATTTGACTTTGGTGTAAACAGATGCAAGGAGTCGTTTTCCTCGCTAACGTGAATTAAGTCATCCAGGCTAAAGTACTGTTTTGTTGCCTTAAATATGCCCAGTTTTGGGTCGACGAAATTAAATACGGCAAACAAAACAGACGCTAAAAACCTGGCTCCTGAAAGCCTGTTCGCTAATAGTCACATCATGTGGAGCCAACTCTCTCCAAAGGAAAAAATAAAACCAGATGCTAATTCAAGTTTGGCAACAGACAAAGGAGCTTTGGCCAAATCTAAAAGAAAAAAAAAAAAGGACAGAGAAACCAGCTGAAAGTGTTGTGCTGATGGAGAGAAATCAACACCTGTTTTCCCTCATTATCTTTTCATATAATTCTTTTTATGACAAGAATAATACCCTGTTAAAATCCCGTCCGTCTGTGCAGGACCAGCTCAAATCAAAACAGGAGAAATTCAGTTTCAGTTTCCACAGATCACTTTTGTTTTGTCCACTGGGCCGTGCTAATCAGAGATCCCCATCGAGCATTTTGAATCATCTAACCATTCAGAGAATAATTCCAGAAAATAAAAGCAAGGAAATGGTATTACATTGCAAGAAAAAGCAAGAATTTAATTCGTAATATTAGAACAATTTGGATATTATGTCTGCGTCTGAAAAAGACTGAAACGTGATGTCAGACAGGAATTAATGTACGTCAGTTTCCGCTGTGAAATCTAAAAAAAAAAAAAAAAACATTCTTACACCAAACTGATGTTTTCAGATGAAGATGAAGAACAGTTTTTGGGACATTTTGTGGACGATGAGCAATGTTTTGAGATTGGGATGTAAACTCGGCGACGTGGCGCGGGTCATAATGCATGACAGTAGTAACTAAGGCAACTTCAGCAGGTCCTTAAAACCCCACGGGCCAAAACAACCCCATCCCTCCGTCCCCAGGACAGTCTGTGACCGGATGAGCAGAGTTAGGAAGGAAAATGAAAAAGTCTTTATCACCCCCTCTGCTCCTTAAGGAGTTGGTTGTTTCAACGGAGAGGAGCTGAAGAGGTGAGACAGAAGAGGAGAGGAGTTATAGGACCCGCCTCAAATCAGCCACCTCTGAGAGAGCGTCTTTCTTTGGAGACAAGAGAGGGAAGGGGAGTTCTTTTCATCGTTGCGTCCTGCGGCAAGTTTTCCGAACAGAAGAGAGCAATCGTAGCCGTGACGGGATAGAAAAATAAATGAACGCGAAGGAGGGAAGGAGGTTTGGTTGAACACCTTCTCCGCCTCCTTTGTTCATCTTTAAGACTCTGATGTTCCTTCCTGTTAGTCTGTTAGTTCAAAGCCTCCACCATGAAGCGCTAGCAGGCTAACCAGCCGGCTGACCGGCGCGTGGTCGTGGAGGCCGTTTTGGAGATGGGAGGGGGGGGGAGTGGCCTCAATCTGTGGGGGTGGGGATGACGCAGATGTGCAGGAAGTTGTCTGGGTGGCTGAGGTGCTCGCTGAGCCACTGCAGAGGCGTCTCCAGGAGGGGTTCGATGCCGTGGATCACCACCTGGTAACGCTTCTGCTCACCTGCATGAGGACAGAGCACAGCTTCTTAACAGCACCGAAACTCCTCTTTAAGTCCATAACGCTTCAACTTTTTTACCAATTTGAATCTTAAAGCCTGTTTTTATGCTCATATCTATCTAAAAGTTTTCCCACTTATAAGAAAATAAAAAAACCCACATAAAAATACATTTGAAATGTTGTGTACAATAAACACAAATGCAGAATAAATGACTCTTGGTTTAAAAAATGGGGATATTGGGAGTAAAAAAACGTAAAGCAAAGTGCAGAGAACAGATCAAGTGTACAATAAACATAAATGCAGAATAAATTACTCTTGGTTTAAAAATGGGGATATTGGGAGTAAATAAAACGTATAGGCCATAGGCTGAAGCCTGTATCGTTAAGTTTCGCTCCACTTATTGAGGGACTACTAAATGACACCTGCAAAAAAATCCTTAGTGCATTTTGAGCTCATAACCAAAAGTTCTCCAATCGCTTTGCGCCAGTATTTTTACAATAATTACTTAAAAATGTAACTATATCGGTAGCCTGATCACACCGGTAAAGTACGCTCGAATCAAGCCGCCTAGCCGTTAGCCAATCAGAGCGCGTCCTTCAGGTACGCTCTCCCATTCAGAGGCGAGAACAGAAGAACAACAACAAACATGGCTGCTCCCGTGGAGCAGTGCATTCCCGTTGATCAGACAGAAAACGCAAGACAAATGAGGATTATATATGCATCACACACATATAATCGGTAGAAAAAGAACGGACACAGCCACTAACGGTTGTTCGTGGAAGAAGCTGGTCGTATGTGCCCGTAAGTGTATTGACGGAATTGACCGCACGTTGGCGGAGGGACACAAGACAAAGAAAGGTAAATTGGTCCAAGCAGAAACTATAAATGCTGGTGATTAGATAATTTGCAGACAGCATCTTTGTTTGTGGCTTATAATCAAAAGCTAAAGTAATACATTTGTTGGTAAAAAAAAATGCATGTGTAATTGGTGCCAGCCCTAACCTTCTCACATTATTATGAAGTAGGTGTATGAAGGCTATGTGTAGGGCCTCAATAATAATAAAAGGCATTATTATGAATTTGAAGTGATGATAGGCAATTAATTGATTTGTCAAAGAATGGTTAGATTTTAAATTTGTCACCCAACTACCAGTTCAGTCTGGTAAAAGAGAGAAAATGTATTTGATATTATTTGTTGGCAGCTGGTTTATGATTGAACTTTAACTCTCTCTTTGCTAGGGAGTTTGGTTAATGCAGCTGAAGTGAAAATGGACGAATCCATCCTCAAGGATGTACGTGGAAAAGATTGTGTCGCAATTGAAGTCCGGTAGCACAAACGGTGCTACAAAGAAAGTTAAATTCAATTCAATTTTATGTATATTGATACTAATGATAATGATAGGAGTTATGACAGAAATAACAGAAATAACAGAGTAGTAGCAGAGCAGCAACACGGAGCAGCAGGAAACTCCCAATCACAGATCCAGACTCCACAGCTCTAGGAACACCTGCAGGAAGTGATAGGAGGAGACTCCTATCCCTCCTATGATTTTGATGATTCATAGTTTCTGTGTGTTTTCTATTGTAATTCTCAAGTCGTAACAACCCGAAGTGATCCTAAAAAGTTTAACATCTCAAGGCTTGCTGGGTCCAACAAAAGTAATTGTTTAAAAACAGAAATGTCTTTGTGCCTTCTTTAATTCCCTGTACATTTCCATATTAAGTCTTGCCTCAGAGGAGTGAATTCACAACCCACGGGTTAGCTGATTGAAACCATTTCATTTCTGAAAACCAATTTGAATATTAGTCCATAGTAAACTGAATTTTGTAGTAAATGTGAAAAAAACAATCTTGTAGCTTATAAATAAGAGTTCATTTTTTAATGTTGTGATATTAATACTTTCCATTGTTCTTATAAATAATCAATAATTATGATTATTATTCTTCCTATTGTTATGAGGCATCTGAAAACTTTACCCCTTTTCAAAATCATGTTATCATTGCTATTGCCATTTGTCAATAGTTACAGAGTGGAGATTTATAAATGGTTAGAATCGGTCTTTATAATTATATATGTACATGTATAAAATTTGGGAGATATCAACTTTGGCATGCTTAGTGCTTGGTAGAATTGTTCAAAAGTAATTGAAAAATTATATGTAGGCTTCTTATTCTCTTTCAGTTTTTCTGAAGATGATTAATTCTCTCTGTAAATATTCATAAATGTTGCAACAAACAGAAGAAGTAACTCTTGTTGGTGTGGG